TGATTAAATGCATTTCTTCTTTCCTCTGGGTGAAGAGTAGTGCAAACTTAGTGAGGTTTCCCTACTTCATACCTTGTTAATTTTAAATTCCATTTCCACTGTCCCATATTTGTCGAATGGAGTTGCCCAATTGCCTTTGAAGTACATGGCGTTCACCAAGATTAGTCGGGTCATGGAATCAACAACACCCTGAGCCAGCAGATTCTGGATTTTACCTTTAGAACACATGAAAGGAAGAAGAGCTTTTAGTTAATACGCACCTATCCACCTACTTGTGTTATTAACTACAGTATTGACTACTAACTGCACAATACAAGAGCTGAGGATGTTAAATTGTGGTTATCTGGTTAATAATGTAGCCGATACAGTTGTATCGACTACAGATTAGTAGATAAGGGGCCACTTTGCAGAGCCGCAGCAGGGATAGCTCCTAGAACAGGATGGAGCCTAGAAGGAGCAATCCTGGTTCGCGCTGGCTACGGGACACACCTGCATTTTAGTGGCTCCGCATTTTAAATGTGGTAAGAGCTGGCAGGCTCTTAGTACATTTAAAATGCAGAGGCGCAGCATCCTGCCAGTACGAGTCAGGATTGCTCAGTCCCGGCTCACGCCGACTCCAGCAGCCCTGCGTGTGGCCATCCCCCGCTGCTATGAACAAGGGCTGCTGCCAGAGCTGCCTCTGCCAGCGGCGAACCTCGGCCCACCACATGCAGAGGCAGCAAGGAACGGGGGAAGCGAGTAGTTGAGTACTCCATTCGACTGCCCAATAAGCTTATGGGGTACCTGAGTAGTTGACTACTTGCCAAAACCCTAACAAGAACTACATCTTAATCTGAAGGATTCACTTTTTTCCCCCCCTCTTTCCTTTATTGTATCTTTTCTATTGCCATACACTTTTTAAGAACGTGCTGGCTGTTTAGAAATACCCTGTGAAATTCTGCAAGCTACTTACCTTCAGTTTTTTCTTCTACCCAGGCGTTTATATGTTTTCTGGAATCTTCTGCATCTCCACAGAAGTCAACTCGTTCTACCTCTGCATAGTAGAATTCCTGGCAAGAATCTATAAATGTCTATGACAAGCAAAGGAAGTTATCTTAACAGTATATTTTGTAGTGGGCAGTTGTAAAAGATTCAAACATAGAATCTACTTCCTCTTCTCCCGCTCCTTCAGAAAGAGTCACTGTAGACACAACTTGTTATCACTTCTTTTCAAACTGTACATTTCATTTTCTTTTATTACATTTTTACTCGGACCAGCTGGCTTAATAACAGATCAACAACAGCACTGCATGCTCCAGTTGGAGAATACCAGGCCTTGTAAATTGGTCTACAGATGAAGCATTTTGTAATCCTCACAGTGACCTTCAGACTTGATATAGTTCAGAAGTGAAATGTCCCGGGGTTCATTTCTGTATCATATATCTTTTTTGGACCATAATACTCTGCTCTTCAGCCTTATGAAAGACCTCTTGTGCAAATGTCAATAGGTCAGTAACTGTGCTTAGGTGAAAAGCATTTTTTCTCTCTCGAAATTGTATTTTGAAGTCTTCTGTTTTATGGTCCTACTGCCAAAGATACCAAGTTTAAATATTTAATCACAGCGGTTTTAACTTTAATTGAAAAGAGGAATTCTTGATCTGAGCCAATTTTTACTGGCAGACCTTTTTATTAATAACATTTCATGGATTGGGAAGGGTAAGCTTGATTGCCATACTGAAAGTGCAAGTTTATTTCTTAAAGTTTAAAACTTGCGTGATTTCCTACTATCTCTTAATTTTCAGATATGAAGCATGGGAGTTAGAAAGAGTGGGACGGAGAAGCATCTTGAGGAAGTGGCCCAGGGAGCAAGGTAGCAGCAAGCACTAGAGAATCTGAGCAGTCAACTCCTACTCCTGGGGTCCCTGGGCCAAAGCCCAGAAGAGTGGGTGGGTCTGGATCCACCCGACCCTCTCCAGACCCCCCAGAAAAGAGCTGAACCAAAAATTGCAGATGTGCCCTCAGCTACAGAGGGGCATTCAGAGGAGTACACTTTCCAGATATATTTTTGAAGGAAAATGTACACCCTAAGTCTTTGGAGAATTTCTAATCCCTCTTCTTTCTCATTTAAAAAAGTAATGTTGTGCCCAGTGGTGTGTTCTTTGAACGCACTGTACAATTTAAGGGGAGAGAAGACGTCCCAGTTAGTCACACAATAATGCTTATTTCCCTCTGTATCCGCCACCAGAAAGAAATTTTTAAAATCATAGCTCCTGGCCAAACAGGCCTGAGTGATTTTTGGAATGCTGAAGAGTTGGGATTTGACGGTCCTTCCATTGACAACACTCTGCTCCGGTTCTCAAGAGTTCAGCGCTATGGACTGTCAAACAGTCAGCTGAGCACACAATTGGATATTACAAGGAGACTGGTTTTGGCTACTCCGGTCTGAACATCATAGCGCCTGGAGATTAAAGCCAGCACCTTTCCTTTACACTCAGAAGTGGAACCACAGAAAATGTGTCATAACATAAAAACCAACTGAATATTTGACTTACTGTAAGAATTTGACAAGTCTTATCCCCATAGAGCCGGTTGGCAATCTTAAGCGCATACTTAGTGCCTGGTCTGTTAATTTCAGAAATAAGTGACTGATACCCATCATGAATCTCTTCAGGTTTGACCAAAGAAAGCACCTGTAGAAAGAGAAAGATATACACTCGGCATGATCCACATGTGTGAAATACGCACTTTGGAAGAGGTCAGTACAATGCCTTTCAGCCCTTAAAGATGAAAGCTGCATCCTGAATACCCAAGTCAGCCCTAAAAGGGAAACAATTTCACAGGACCCAACACGTTTGCAGCTCATTGTACAAGTTAGAAGAGGAAAAGCTGTGAAATTAACATAGCTGTTTTGAAGTTTCAGAACATGAATTTAAAGTCGCTTCAGGTCTCATACCCTGAGTCTATATGCCCATGCCAATTTTTTTGCTTTATAGTTAATTTTTTGAATTTGTTTCATTGTGTGAAACAGTCTAACAAACAAGAAAACCTCTCTATGGAAAAAACAGCAAAACAAGAAGTGCTGTCAAATGAACATGTAAACAAACGGTGAAAAACTGACTCACTTCCCCCTAATCTTAAGGGGTACTTCCAACGCTATTGGGTAAAAAGAATTCAGACAAGGTATGATTTCAGTTGACTATATCCCTTTTAACATTCCTTTCCCAAAAGCTGCCAGCAATGTTTTGGATCTATGCCTTCAATTCAACCATTACCAGAGGATCCTGCTTCCTTGTAACAGGGCCTCCATTTTCCATTCCATAATGCATTTTTTTATTGCATCATTTCATGTTTGTATCATTCCTTTCCCCCATTATTTTTCTTATTCTTCTTTACTAAAATGAAACAACTGACAATACAGGTTATACCTTCCAAAAAAGGGCTAAGAGGACCGTGCATGTTCTTGGATCAGAGAGCCCCGGAGGCCTAGAGGCAGGAGGGCCATCCAGGAGTGGGGCCGGGCTGAAGCAGCAGGAACAGGGCAGGAGCTGGGGCTTGCACCAGCTGTCAGGTGCTTGAAGTAGTGAGCCTCTGGCCAGAACTAGCAGCAGCCCCCAGCAGCCAATGGCATTGGGACAGGGGCTGGTGGCAGCCCTTTGCAGTGCAGGGCTGGGGCCAGAGCCTGGTCAGCCCCTGGCAATGGGGCCTGAACTGTGGCTGATGTTGGACCTGTGGCAGCTAATAGCAGCGTGGGGCTGGGGCCCAACGACTGCCCGGCAGGCAGTCCAGCTGGGATGGTGGCAGGAGAACCAGCAACCCTACAGGCTGGGGTTGGGGGTAGTGAAGAACAGCAAGGGCAATGGAGCTGGCAGCGCAGATGATCAGAAGGCTGGAGGAGCCAGTGGCAGGGGCCTCCCCTGCTCTGGCAAATTCCATGATTCGGGACCAGTCCGGTCCTGAGGGTGCCAGACCAGGGAGGTCCAACCTGGAGAGTAGTTAGCAAAATACAGAATACATTGAAAAACAGATCTGGCACTTATCTGAGTTGAAACCTTAGCGAAACGAAGAAATGATCTGGACGACCTAGTGCTCCAGCACATCGGTCCTTTGCTTTAACATGAGCAGCCTTTATTTACTAGAGATCAGTATGACTCTTCTAGAATGAAACATTGTAATGCAGCAAGACACCCAGAAAAGCCTTTCCAAAGGGAAAACTTTAGCTCTGTGTTGCTTCATTGCATGTATGTAGGAAAATGCCCAAAGGAGAGAAATGGCGCAAGATCCCAGAAGCTACCCAAAGGGCCAAACAACCCACAGAGGGCAGATGGGTGGCTCACCAAGGGAACTGCCCTCATAGAACACAAAAGACTCAATTCAACCAAATGCAGCCTGGGATAATTGTGGGACACCCACAATAGGTCTCTAGGCTAAATTCAGTGATGTCAGGTCTCTTAGACCAATGGTTTTAAAATCAAGATCAGGCCATATTCTCTTTTTATTTCCATAGGTGTAAAAATACTACCCCCAAATGCTGGACTGGCTTAAAAGTAATAACTGCTAAAAACTGCCATGATATGACTGTCATAGAAATTGCAGACCTGTTGTGCTGGTTGATTTTTGAGCAAAAGATTTTGCTGACACAGAATAAGAGAATGTTTCCATCCGCTGGTGCCCATATTTTTTTTAGCAAACTCTACTAATAGTTAATCCACTTAAACAAAAGACACATAAAAGCATGTTCTAGAACTCCTAACAGATTACAAGAAATTAGTTTCAACCCCACCCTATTTTACTGTTGAAGCTGAAAGTTTAGACAAACTCTTCCTCTCCTCTAAGTCAAATGAAGAAAAGGACTTCTGTGTTAATAACCTCTTGGCAGCCAGATCTCAGGACCTCAACTTCATTGTCTTTCTTGATTCCTGCCAATTTTGCCACTATTGATCACTCTCCTTTACTAAATCTTGTTCCCTCTTAGCATTTGAGACTGTCTTTCTTAGTTCTCCTCTTAGGCCATGTCTACACTACACATAAGATCGAAGTAGCCGCAGTTGATCTTCCAGGGTTTGAATTAGTGAAGACAGGAGAATTTGAACTGAGAGGACACTCCCATGGATGCCAGTAGTCCTGCTTCTACGACAAGTTAATAAGTCAAAAGGAGAGTGTGTTCCCTTCAACTTCCTGCAGTGTGGACAGCGCCAAAGGTTAAGTTGAAATATTTCTATTTAAGTGACACAATTCACGTAGTTGAAGTTGCGTATCAGAATTCGAACTTATCTCCTAGTGTAGATCTTAGCTCTTTGCTTGACCAATTAATGGGACTTCAGAGCTCCATACTGGGCACCCAACTCTTTTATCCTGCCCCCTCTTCCTTTCTAGAGGTTCTGAGTGCTCATTGAAACAGGATTTGCCATGAAGAGTTCAGTGATCCAGGCCTGCATTTGCAAAAGCAATAAGTGATTTTTTTGGTTACCCAAACTTGAGGTTGATTTTAAGAAAATGCTCCTGGCTATGTATTTAAGGCATATGTAAAGATCACCAGTTTGATATAAATTCTAGAGACTTTGAAGTTATCTAAATCTTTAGGCAACTAGACAGTCCTCTCGCAGTGCTGACAAAATTCTACTCTCAGGCGCACTAGGGTTACGTTTACACTGCGGGCTAAAGTCAAATTAAGATATGCAACTTCAGCTATAGTAATTGCGTAGCTGAAGCTGAAGTAGCTTAACTCAGCTTTAGGCGCTGTCTACACAGCAGGAAGTCGAAGGAAGATCACTCTTCCTTCAACTTCCCTTACTCCTTGTGAAATAAGGCTTACAGAAATTGGAATGAGAAGCCCATTATTTCAAAATTATTTTGAAAAAACGGGCTTGCTGTGTAAGTGTGCACTCTCTTATAACTTGAGTTATTTTAAAATAAGTGTGCAGTGTAGACATAACCTAGGACAGTGTTTCCCAATTTTAATTGGCCACGGAACCCCTAGGGTTGCCTTATTTAAAAAAAAAAAAAAAGCTCCTGCCACGTTTCGTCTAGCAAAAAGAAAAAAAAAAGAGAGAGACCCACAGGTCTGTCCCTTTAAGAAGAGGAGTGCCAGCTCTTTACGGAACCCTTGCCGTCACCAATTGGGAAACACTGGCTTAGGAGGATAAGGGAAGTTTTGCATAAGTACAGGGTACAGAACATACAACGGAGAGCTGTGGATGAGATTCTAGAGAAAAGTTATGTTAAGTGGGTCACATTTATCCAGACATACCTTTGCCATCTGGGCTGCAGTGTTACCTTTTGCACCCAAAAAAACCATGGCCAAAGCAGAGGAGATACTCAAAGGAGAAAAGAATAAATTCTGTGTATTGGCATTTTCACTCAGCTCTTTGAATAGGCTGAGTGCAAAGTTGGTGTTTGCTTTACTGAGGTCTGAATCCATGGTTCAGAACCTGTAAGATAAAACACGAAAGAAAGATCATATAAGATAATGAGTATTTAACGTGCCATGTTCTCAGCTGATACAAAATGCCGTAGCTTCACTGAAGTCAGAAGAACTACATGGTTTTACACCACTTCAGATTCTAACACAGTGTCAAGTACTTTTAGGGACCATGTGCACACACTTTCTCTCTCTCAAAATGGAATTTATATAAGAACCTTCTGATAACAAGAGAGGCAATCTCACACAAATTGCAAAGTTTTTCAATTCTCTAGGATTCATGTTAACTTTTATAAGCAGTATACACTGTTTTTCAGGAATTCAGTAATGTAGCCTGTAGGGCTAACCTGCTTTGCTTGCTTATAGATACATTTATTTTCTTATATAAATGTATGGTTTAATTATTTGTTCATTATAGTAATTTTATAGTAAAGTTATTTTGCTATTCTGCAAGGGACCTACAGGACAGATCGTATATGCTGAGCTAAGGCAATATTCGTATTTTTCACCCAGATAACACAGTTCGGCTTATATATGTCTAGGACCTACACTTATTATCTAGATAGCAAAATCAACTTATGAGGGAGGTGGACTATTTAGGCATTAAGATTAGTCTCTAAACTTTGTCTCTAAATATTGTCTTTCTAATGCTCATTTAGTTTATTGTAGGTTTAAATAATTAGTTTAAATAAACTGAGCTTTAATAGTTCTTCACATTAGCTTCAGTGTTTCCCACCCGAGAACTGAGGCACCTGTACCTGAACTGTCCAAGCATGCTGGAAGCAAGCCTGGTCCTTTGTCTCTTACCACCAGGTTAAAAAGAATGGGTGTGAGTATATTATCCACAGCTTTATAGAAACACTGTGTGTATCTTTAGACTAATAATACCGTATTTGTAACACTGATTCATTCTATCATTCAATTCCTATTTGATTCCTATTCCATATATTTTAATACGGACTGTCTCTATGCAAAACAATATATGTACATAAATCAGACACAAAGAATGGTAACATTTAAAAACCAGTAGGAGAGCACTTCAACCTCCCTGGACAGGGCTGGCTTTAGGCTGATGCAGCTGATTCCCCGGAATGGGGCCCCGCGCCAAAGGGGGCCCCATTCCCAGACATGCGACGCATGCGCAGTGCTCACCTCTCCAGGCGCGTGGTTCATGCGCAGGGCCCCGGGCACGCGGCGCATGCGGGACCCCAGCCCCGGAATCGGGCCCCGCGCTTCTTAAAGCCGGCCCAGTCCCTGGACACTCAGTAACAGACTTGAAAGTTGTCATACTTTAGCAAAAACATTTCAGAAACAGACTTCAGCCTGAAACTGCAGAGATGGAATTCATATGCAAACTTAACCCTACCAGACTGGGTCTGAATAGAGACTGGGAGGGGCTAGCTCACAACAAAATGTAATTTTCTCTCTTTTGGTATTCTCACCTTCTCATCAGCTGTTGGGAATGGGCCACATCCCCCCTGATTGACTTGACTTCCTTAGTACTGGTCCTCCCCATAGTAATGTAACACACTCATCTTTGCATGTGTAGATATACTTGCCAAACTGAAGTTTCCACTTCATGCATCTGATGAAGTGTGTTCCAGCCCACAAAAGCTTATGCCCAAATAAATTTGTTTGGCTGTAAGGTGCCACAGGACTTCTCGTGGTTTTTGCTGACACAGAATTACATGGCTATCCCTCTGAAGCTTGTCATCTGGATTAAAGCTCTTTAACCCAGTTTCAGGGCATTGTTACCAGGTAAATGAATTATCCGACCTCTTCTGTTTTACAAAAATCCTATTAGGAAAAGAACACTATTCCCCAGCTCCCATAGACAAATGCATTTATTTACGGTATACAGCCCCACGTACACCATGGGCCGTACTATTAGGCCTAGTCACTCATACTCCTTTCATCACCATGATAATGGAGCTGCATTTTAGTTTCCCAAACAGTGGAATCTATATGTGTGCTGGCTCAGACTGCTACATGTCAGAGGGAATAAACTTCTGGGATCTCATAAAAAGGCATCACTGGTGTTTGCCCTGGGCTCTGAGTGATGGATAAGTCCCAATATTAACAATGTGAGTCTTTGGAATTCAGAAAACATTTCTAGGTCTATGGTCAACACAGTCTGATCTAATCTAATCCTAAGAACTAATCTCAGGATCCTGACAACTGCTGCAGGCTTTACAGTCATGCAAATTTGCAGTGTCTTTCTCCTGTAGTTACTGAAGCTGAAAAAGAGAAAAAAATCAAGATTAGGGAAAAAATCCAATGTATTTGAAAACTAACCTGCATATACATGAAAATAAACGAGAGAGCTTTTTTCGAATTGATATCACATTTAACAACTATCTCCAAGATATTAAGAGGTTATATGTTAAAAGAGCATCTTATTTCATATTGTTCATGATATTGCATCCAAGGCATGTGTCGGGTAGCAGTATGTGTCACATCGTTCATCTCTGTTCGCTCAGATTTTAAGGGTCATAGTGGTCTCTCAGAACCATCTGCACAGCCCTAAGAGCTTCACTCTCTTTATGAGCATGAGAAGATACTTCAAAAATGCTCATCAGGGCAACATCAACCCCATAACTTGTGATTGAACTACCATATATCTTTTAGAAATACATCCAATCTTAATTTTATAATGTGAAGAGTTTGAGAAGCCATCGAGTCTTTTGGTAAATTATTCCAATGATTCATTATCCTTCCTGATAAAACCTTTAGTTTCTATTTGATTTTTTTCAAGCTTCAACTTCCAGCTAAAGGACTTAGAATATATTTCTGTCTGATAGATTAAAGAGCCTCTTTTTAGAATATATTTCTGTCTGAGGGTATGTCTACGCTACAGCGTTATTTCAAAATATCTTATTTTGGAATAGATAATTCGAAATAGCTTATTTCAAAATAGCGCCTTTACACACAAATTGCATTTCAAAATAGCGTTTTTCTATTTCGAAATAGCGCGTCCACACTGATAGGACGCTGAATCGCACTTGAGGCTGGCAGGGCATCGGGTCAGGAGTTAGCCTCAGGCAACAGCCACACAAGGTATCTGAGGCTTGTGCTTAAAGGGACACTCCCCCGCCCCCCACCCGGACAGCCGGTTCTCAGATTTCCCTGCTTGCTTGCCTACCTCGATGAGGGACAGCAAAGCATATTGTCTCTGTATGCTCGGTTGCCCTCACTTGGGCCACCACAGCACTCTGCAACATGGAGGTGGAGCTGGAGCTGGAGCTGCCCCTGGACACTCTGGTGTTTCTTTTGGATGCGCTGCTGCGAGCCTGGCTGCACTTTCTGCAGGCTGCCATCCAGGAGATCCATCGGGGGGCTGTCAGTATCCAGGAGGCCCTGCGGGAGAGCTTCCACCCTAAGGAGCACTAAGAGTCTCCCTGGTCTGCCCCATTGTGCCTCATTCCTCCCTCATGTCCTTCCACTTACCCTCCCCCCGCCCCCCCAACCCCCTACCTGATGTAAAATAAAATACACGTTTTTTCATAAACACAAACTGTCTTTATTTAACAAAACTGCGAGCGGGGGAATGAAACTCTGGTGAGACTGGGGAGAGGAGGCTGGCAAGGGGAGGAGAGAGGGTGGGAGAGGGAGAAACCTGGGAGGAGGGAGCTGGAAGGGGGAAGCAAGGGAAAGAAGGGGGAGGGGAAGCTCCAGGCTCTTGCCAGACCAACTTGATTTTCATGCTAACCTGCTCCTGGGTTCGCATGTGGCCTTTGGTGGCCAGGCTGGCAGGTATCCTGCCATAGACGGCCACCTTCCTCCGCTTCGTGCAGAGATCTTGGATGTTGGGGGCATACCCCCCAAACCTGGAATAAGGTCCATGATCTCCGCCCTGGACCAGGAAGGCACCCACATTCTCCAGGTCCTGGTAGGCTCCTGGGAGCTGGCAGACTGCTCCTAGGGAGCAGTGAAGGGCTGGCTGCCAGTTGCTTGCTGGCTCATGTTTTGGGGCCACTGGATCAGGGGCAGTGACTGCAGGCTCTGGGCTGGCGGGCTTGGAGCTGGCACAGGCACTGTGGCCAGAATCTATCCCTTTAAGGGCTCCGGGGAGGGGGGAGGAAGAGGAGTGTTCTTGGTTGAGGCTGGAGTGGCCACTAGGGCACCCTAGGAAGGCTGGAGGCCTCCTATTTCAAAATAAGTGTGCACACAGCATTTATTTCGAAATAGCTTTTTCAAATTTGGTGTTATTCCTCGTAGAATGATGTTTACCAAATTCGAAATAAGGAAAATTGTTTCAAAATAAGGGCTGCTATTTCAAAATACCTTTGCTGTGTAGACATACCCTGATAGATTAAATAGCCAAATATCTTCTCTCCATGTAAGCACTTCACCCATGCGTGAAATACCTTTCTTGAGCTAGTCTGCAAAGCAATTTCAGTCCCTTAATTTAAATCTTTCCTTAAGGAACACTCCATATATGATGTCTAAACATCAGCCAAGTGATTACTTATTTGTTGTAGGTTTTGGCAGAGCACCCATAAGAAGTATGTAGGCACTTAAGATTGTGAGAAAGTTAAGGGTAGCTGGAAATAGTCTGTTTCTCACACAAAAAGAGCAATGGAACAAAATAACATTGTGTTACTAAAACATTTTGTCAACAAGACATGAAAAAATTCAATGTCCTCATTTTGTTGTAACCTCAACAGAGCACCCATTTTTAATCATTTTAAAGTGAGGTGTACTGGATTCCCTCCACGCTACAGGAGGAAGAACCACCCTCTCTGTAGAAGTGGAGAAACAGGGCAGGTAGGACAAAAGATGGAGTCCCTAATTCAGTGGGAGCTGAGCTAGAAAAAGAGACAGATGTGTCCTGCTTGCTGCTGCCCACGGACTCTGCTGCTGAACGAGGCGGCTTCCTGGACATGAAGAGGCCTGATGCCGAGGAGCTGGAGCGGATGGGACTCCTGGCAGCCAAATATCTGGACAAACCAGAGAAACCTGATCCGGAGCTCAGGTAGGAAGCAGCCCAGGGGTTTGGATGTAGAGGTGTTGTGACTTGACAGCAGATCGGAGTATTGTAGGAGAATCCCTGCTGACCCAATGCTGGGATACCCTGTTACTGATAGGGCTCAGGGCTAGTACACCAGTACTCCTGTCCCGTCACTCCTGGAGTAGCAGCTCCCCACTGGATCACTATCGATGCTTTGCCAGCTTTCTCCTGCCTGGGGGTGAAAGCAGCTGGTCTAGTTACTGGCTCTACCTGCCCAGAGGGCCGAGGACTTATTGGGAGTTAAGCCTGTTCTGAGAGCCAGGACACTACAGCTACTCTACTAAGTCCCCTAATAGTAAACTGAGGTAGCGTGGCCTCCCTTTGATCCATAGGGAGTAGGGGAAGGGCCTCTGACCCATTACAGAAGAATATTATGGCATTGTTGGGGGGGAAATACCTGTTTGAATTAATGTTAACAATTATTCTCAATTCTCCCAATACAGGCAGTCTCCGACTTACGCGGATCCGACTTATGTCGGATCCGCACATACGAATGGGGCTTTCTCGCCCCGGAGCTCACAGGCAGCGGTCAGCCACCTCGACCTCCGGGGCGAGAAAAGCTGCTCCTGGTGCCCCTGGTCTGCTGGGGACCGTCTCCAGCAGACCAGGGGCACCGCGAGCAAACCCGCAGCCGCGGCTGGGTCCCCCGCTTCTGAGGCTTTGCCAGGGTTGCTCTGCCCCGGGCTTCTTGGAATCAGCTGCTGATCAGTTTCAGCAGCAGCTGACTTGGGGTTCTTAAGTTGAATCTGTATGTAAGTCAGAATTGGCGGTCAGTTTCAGCAGCGGCTGAATCTGGACGCCAGTTCCGACTTACATACAGATTCAACTTAAGAACAAACCTACAGTCCCTATCTTGTACGTAACCCGGGGACTGCCTGTACTATGAATAATTTGAGTTTTAAAATTCAAATGTTTTTAAAATTGTTTATGCATATCTAAAAAACTGGACAGGCATATTTGGGGGTTCCAAAAAGGATGGAGCTAGGTTATTCTCAGTGGTGGCAAATGATAGAACAAGGCGCAACGGTCTCAAGTTGCAGTAGAGGAGGT